ATAAAAATTGTGGGTCATTGTTAAATGTGCAGCGTTATCTTGGGTTAGGAGTTCTAGGAGCCCAAGGCTCTTCATCCACCTTTTGGTTCAAGCCAACATGCTTGTTAGCCTGCGTTGGTGGATCCCTTAGCTTCTTTTCTTCTTCAAGTACGTGGCATGCATGTGACTTTTTATCCGAGGCATACGATTTCAGCAGCTGCGTTGTGGCTGCCTAGACAGAGATCATCAATGCCAACGTGGAGTCTTGGGGCAGCGCGCCACGTGCATGCATGGTGTCACGTTGGGCGTGGCCTTACCGCCTTACAGCTGAAGACATGGTGTCACGTTGGACAAAACCTCCGTATAAACTGCCTAGAGAAGGGACAAAATCGAGTTCTGCATGTGAGGAGGAAAATCGAAGATTATGAAAAGTTGAACGGAGTAGACGAACTTTTTCCTCGGTGATTCCTCCTCGCAACAGCAGCCGCGACAGCCGTTGGCAGCGCTGGGGCTGATGAGCAGCCGAACGGGCCCAATAATAACCTATACCACCCAACCTGGCATGCAGGACGTAGCGACGGCGACGTGAGAGCATGATGATCTCTCGATAAACTCATGCCGCGTCCGCCAAATCACGTCTCAACTTCCACCCAATCGGAGTGGATCGGATAGCACCTTTACACACTTACTTGAGGTGCTGTTTGGGTCCTGTGCCCATAGGCCATACACAGGTCATCAGTCCAATTTGAGGCGCTTAAAAATCAAAATCGGATGGAAGTCTGGTCGAGGTGAGTTTTTCAGCTCGGAAAGCAGTGCCCGTACTGCTACTTGCTTTTTTGCGTGCCGGCGGCGCACCGTTGGCCGTCTTTGAGACGACGCTGGGCGGGCCGGTGCGAGACCAAATCAGTGGCCGGTTCGATCTGACACATCGGGACATATCACATATATACTACTCTACGTAGTAGTAGTAGTATTTCCACCAAACAGTCTATAGGAACTTTTATTTATTTCATTTTGTTAGAGTATATTTGGTGTCCAATCTTCCTCTATCACATAGTAACCGGTCTGTTGGGAAGCAAGGCAAACATGCATGCGTGTTTGCATCACATCAGAATTCAGAAAGGACGTACGTGACACGTACGCCATCTCGATCGGCATGAGTGGCTCGTCCCATGCTAATTGTGAGGCATAAGCGCCCTGTTTATTTATTCTTGAAAATGTTGCAAGCGTCTCCTGGCGCTGCGCGTCGCGTTGCTACGTAGCGTGGGTTTGGCATAATGAGATGCATCTTCCCAACTCCCAAGCTAGACCGATGCAACAGCCCTAAGCAGCTCTCGCTCTCAACAACAATCAACAGGACCGGAGCCCTCCTCTCTCTTTCTAGTCTCTACTCTCTATATATACATCGAGGCGAGGCGCCACAGTATATTCATAGAGAGATATACGTACGCCACACAACCCATGCCAGCTGCTATGGCAACGCAAGAGAATAAGCCGCCGCCGGCGGGGAGGAGGGGAAGCCCGCTGCTGCGGAGGTGCAAGCGCGACGGGTACACGCACGGGCTGCGCCCGCCGCAGATGGAGGCGCTCCGGGCCATGTGCGGCGCGCTCATCCCGTCCCTACCCGCCGTGCTCCTGGAGGGGGACGACCAGCAGCCCGGCCGCGGCAAGGGCGACGACGACCTCAAGCGGTTCTACCGCGCATCCGCCGCCGACGGCGTCATCCCTGACGAGGTGAGCTACGAGAGACTACGATTATCCATGCCTTCATGCATGGTGCCATGCATGGACAGCACAAGCACGCATGGTGTGTGTGTGTGTGTATAAAGGACAAAACTGGAACTACTACCTCTATATTTAAATTTCTCCGCTAATAATAATAAAAATAATAATTCTTTTATTACTTCTGTTCATGATGATGCATGATTGATAAATGAAAAGGTGGCGGAGATGGTGACCCGGTGCGTATGGGAGGCGATGCGGCTTATGAGGGTCATCCTGTGGATGCTGAGCACCAGGGTGGGCACGTTGGCGCTCTGCGGCCGGCTGTGCTTCTCTGGCAACGGCAAGTTCCCGTTCGTCTGCAAGTTCGCGGACATGCCGGTGGAGCGGAGAGAGCAGGTGCTGAAGCGGTGGAGCAAGGCGCGGTGGCTATTTCCCCTCAAGATCATCTTCCTCATCACCAAGCTCCTCTCCCACTACTCATTCTACACAATGGTATGCACGTTGTTATTACAAAGTTTTTCCTCATACATGCATGTGTTATTCTTGCAAGGGTTGAGATTATTATCGCCTTTAAGTTATTTATTTCATGTAGTGGCGATCACTCTAATAATTCTAGTCTTTGTCGTAGCATATGCATGTTGGCATGCCGTGCTAGTCTGCCTAGTCACATTGATGGCGTGTGTGGTAATCGCCTATACATCGTACGTGTGGAAAAGGCCCTTCGATCGATCGATACCCTCTTGCGTTTTGGCAACTTTACTAGAGGTTTCAAAGAACCCAGCCTAATATAAGACGTGATGACGACATGGACGAGAGGCAAAAAAATCTACTATATACCATTGATATTTAGTAAAACTCTGTCAGGGTCACTGTGACTAAATTAACTACCTGATAGATGTACCAGCGCCCGCGCGCACACACAAAAATCACTGTCAGGACTGCAAACAGTTGGCGTTAAATTACCATTATTTCTAGAAAGCATGCATGTATTCGGTAGTGCGTACGTGAGAGGGACTTTTCTTGACTTCTCGGGCGGCAAGAGAATTCATGCAGCAGCCAGCAGCCGGGAAGGTTGGAGCATGGAAGCTAGCCGTAGCTATAGCCAGACAGCCAGTAGCCACGTTATTCCTTATTCAATTCGATCATGTCTGGTTTGCTGCTCCGGGCTCCCACTTGTGATTGGCGACTGGGGCCACAGCCCACATCGGAGAAACGGACCGATCGAAGTCGCTAAGCGTAGGGATGAAAACGGATTGGATATAGATGGATATCACTTATATCATATTTGTTTTTATATTTCTGTTCGGATTCGGATTCGAATACGGATAGTGTCAGCCATGTCGGATAGGATACGATTGGATATCGACATCATAAATATGTGATTTGAGGATTCGGATATGGATACGGTATTAGACGTTGGATATCTAAACTTAGATATGGACGGATCTGAACTCCTCTAAACGAATTCGGTCTCAAATACGGTCGAAAAATATCCGTACCATTTTCATCCCTACTAAGCAGTCGTACATGCGCGGATTGGGGGCTACCGATGCCGGAGCAGTGGAGCCTCTCGGAAATCTCCATGAATTTTTATGTAAAGTTCTATAGTGTAGGTGGGGCTGAGACTCCCTGAAACCCTCATTAATTTTTAGGCAAAGTTCTATGGTGTAGATGGGGCTGAAACTTAAAATCGAACATCAGTAGGAGGTATGTAGACAATCAGCCCCCTAAAATTTTTCCAGATCCGCCGCTGATGCTCCAGCATATATCATACTAATATTTGTTGCTGTCACTCAGCTCGATGCTTGATGGTTTGGTTGGAAGATGGACGTGTAGGGGACGACACACTTCATGCGATCGACGTGCGTGCATGCTGCACTCCGCACTCGGGTAGCTGGACAGTGCACCACGCACGTACAGTTTCTGGACAGCTAGTACAGAGGGTCATTAACTCATTATATTATTTTGGATATGGTCCAGTTATTATACAGTACTACTAGCTAGTCATTACTTATAATAACACAACTACTATATATCGTCTAGCCATTAATTACTACATCTGCGCAAAATGTCAGAAATTATCTATAGCTACAATATTATAATATCCAGAAGTAGTGTCAGGAAAATGCATGCTTTCATACGCTACTAGGTGATGATATTACAATAAAATATCACGGTCAAAGTCTCAACAGTTGAATTGTGAAAAGATAAAAAAAACACCCGGCTCCTACGGAGTACAGTACTATTTAGTTTTAATCATTTTATCTCGCCGCCACTCCACCCACCTGCTCGACGTTCCGCTCATCGTGGCATGTCGCCGCTGGACAGCTAACCCCATGGTGGATCCACCTCTTCGGCTACAGTGCAACACTATCAGCGTATACTCCCCTATAATTAAAAAAAAAGAAAAGGAAGGTACCAATTCAGTTAAATGCACCTCTTCGCTTACCTACTACTCAATCCATCTCAAAATATAGGGTCTTAGGATTACAAAAAGTCAAATTCCATTCGTTTTGGCCAATAATTACTAAAATTATATGCATGATTACTACATAATATAAGTTGTCTCAAGAGATTTGCATTCGATTTATATTTTTAATAGAAACTGACTTGGATGCAATATATTGTAACAGTAATTGATGGTGAAAGTATGCTTCTAAAGACCTCCATATCTTATACACCTACTCCCTCCGTCCCAAGAAGAAAGTCGCTACGAGATGCGCGCTGTTCAAACTTTCTCAAGTTTGACTAGCTTAATAGTAAATATGAGCAACATTTGTATGACTAAATAGATTTTATTATGAAAATATATTCCGTGATTTATCTAATGATACTAATTATGCATTTTAAATATTATTATTCTTTTATATATAATTGGTCAGCGTTATAAATAATCGGGAAGTGAAAATAACGGATGGAGTAATTATATAAAATGAACCGAAGGAGTACTACAATATATCAATATGAGATGCGTGGCTAGCTTACATGCCATGCCATGTTAATCCTCAGGTGGAGCTCCTTAAGCCTACTCTCATAGACGGTGGATGTTAGGATGAGCTGAACATACTAGTTTTGTCTTATCTCCCTATTTTCTATGAAAAACTATTTTACCAAATGTCAACTTTATCGATGAAGCTGCTCGTAGAACCAAAGCCAAAAGAACATGCTCAATCAGCTTACCCAGAGTTGTACTCAGCGGGGGCCTAATAATACTCAGAGATGACGGTTGCAAAGATGTGGCTTTCGATTAATTAATTATGTCATCGTCATGTGGGTGCCATTTTCCCAACGTGCAGGTAAACGACGACAGGGACAACCCGTCCTGGAAAGCAATAGGATACAGCGTGCCGGAGCCGGACGTGGACAGGCCACGGGAAGAAGGTCGAACGGAAGTAGCGCCGTCGCCGCGGCCACTGGACAGCGGCATCGTGGAGACCAGATCCCTGAATGACGCCACGCTGCTCAGGTCACTCACGGAGCGAGGACTGGCGGTGAAAGCAGACGTGTCGGCCGCGCACCACACTGTGCGATGCGACGTCGTCATCGTCGGTTCAGGCTGCGGAGGCGGCGTGGCCGCCGCCGTGCTGGCGGCTGCGGGGCACAAGGTCATCGTCGTGGAGAAGGGGGACTACTTCACAGCCGAGAGCTACACCTCCGTGGAGGGCCCGTCCATGGAGCGCCTCTACGAGAAGGGAGGCATCTTCTGCACGTCCAACGTGACGACCATCATGTTCACGGGCACCACGGTCGGCGGCGGGTCCGCGATCAACTGGTCGGCCAGTATCCGCACGCCGGAGTGGGTCACGCAGGAGTGGGCGCGCGAGCATGGGCTCCCGATGTTCGGGAGGCCCGAGTACGTGCATGCCATGGACGCGGTCTGCGCCCGGCTCGCGGTGACCGGCGGGTGCCGGGAGGAGGGGTTCCAGAACAAGGTCTTGCGCCGTGGCTGCGAGGCGCTCGGGCTACGCGGCGACGCCGTGCCGCGCAACTCGTCGGAGGGCCACTTCTGCGGCAGCTGCCACCTCGGCTGCCCCACCGGCGAGAAGCGTGGCACCGACACGACGTGGCTCGTCGACGCGGTCGCGCGCGGCGCGGTCATACTAACAGGCTGCAAGGCCGAGCGTTTCATACTCGAGAGCAACCCCGGTGGCGTCGAGAACGGCCGGAGCAAGAAGTGCGTGGGCCTGGTGGCGGCGTGCATGAGCGACGGCATCACCAAGAAGCTGCGCATCGAGGCCAAGGTTTCCGTCTCGGCGTGTGGCGCGCTCATGACGCCACCTCTGCTCCGTAACAGCGGGCTCAAGAACAGGCACATCGGCCGCAACCTTCACCTGCACCCGGTGTCTATGGCGTGGGGCTACTTCCCGGACGGCACGCCGGAGGCGGCAGAGCTCAGTGGCAAGTGCTACGAGGGCGGCATCATCACGACCATGCACCGCGTGACCGGCCGCACCATCATCCAGACGCCGGCGCTGGGGCCAGGGTGCTGGGCTTCGCTGATCCCCTGGGAGTCGGGCCGCGACATGAAGGAGCGCATGCTCCGGTACGCGCGCACCGCGCACGCCTTCGCCCTGGTCCGCGACCGCGGCGCGGGGCACGTGGACGGCGAGGGCCGCGTGCGCTACGCCCCGAGCCGGGAAGACGTGGAGGAGCTCCGCAACGGGCTGCGCCAGGCGCTGCGCATCCTGGTGGCCGCCGGAGCGGCCGAGGTGGGCACCCACCGCAGCGACGGGCTCCGGCTGCGGTGCGACGGCGGCCTCCGCGACGAGGACCTGGAGGCGTTCCTCAAGGAGGTGACCGTAGGGAAAGGCCCCATGCTCCCGGGGCCTGACACGTGGGCGCTCCACTGCTCGGCGCACCAGATGGGCAGCTGCCGGATGGGGTCCAGCCCGCAAGACGGCGCCGTGGACGGCCGCGGCGAGAGCTGGGAGGCGGAGGGGCTGTACGTGTGCGACGGCAGCCTGCTGCCCACGGCGGTGGGCGTCAACCCCATGATCACCATTCAGTCCACCGCGTACTGCGTCTCCAAGGGCATCGCGGAGTCTCTGGCGCGTGACAAGAAACAATAGTAGCCTGCTGCTTGAGACCGTCGGGTCGTGCTCGCAGAGAAATATGGTTGTGTTGTGTGATTCGAGTCGCATTTGCCGGTGCCTGCGTTTCTGGGCTGTGTGTGCATGTTGGACGTGGTTTGGGCCAGCCAGTGCCCAGTGCGTCTTCATCATCCTTGTAGTTTGTTGCATAAAAGCCTATGGGCTCGTATTTGCTTACATCATTGGAAAACAAGTTGTCTTCTGTTTTCTGAAACCGGAGTGAGCAGTGCACAGTAACAATTCTGAGGTACAATTACCATGAGGGCTTTAAGAGGGGTATATGCGCAATGAGTGTGTGGTGCACCGTAACTTTAAGATGGGACCCAGGAACTGTGATAGTAGTTAAACCCGAGGACACAATGGTAGTCCCTCTGTGAGCTTATCAGTCAGAATCAGTCATACTTTTTCAGTCAAGTAACAATATTTTTCTCCCAAAATAAATCAACCCTACAAATTAGTCACAGTATCCATAAATCGTGTCGAACGGGAGCAGCAGCCGCGACGATAACAGTACTGGACAGTGCGCGAAAGGTTGTACTACTGGACAGTGCAGTGCAATCTGTGTACTACTGGACAGTGCAGTGCAATCTGTGTACTACTGGACAGTGCAGTGCAATCTACTCCTAATTACACTCCGCAGTGCAGTACGTAGCGCACATGATTGTTGGTTCTTAACGCTGGCATCCGGGAGAAGCAGGCGGCGGTGCAGGCGTGCAGTGCAGATGTTCGCCTGTTCACGCATCACGCGAGACACCGCACACGTACAGTACGCCGCCAGGACGAGGCGACGACGGCCTTCCGTGCGGCCGTCCCGACTCCCGATGGCTCAGCAGCACCTGCTGCCAGTGCCAGCGGGGCGGGGCCTTGTCTTGTCAACTTCACCGTACCAGTAGAGTAGAGTAGTGGGTAGTCTGCACGGGCGCTGTGAACAGGAGAGTACACCTACTAGCGAGTGTGAGTTGTGGGTGCTCTTGTACGCGCACTGTAATTGTGAACAGGAGAGGTGCAGTACTCCTAGCGAGTAGAGCATGTTCGGGGAACGTCCTTCACGCGACACCCCACCCTCACCGCGGTGGTGGAGCTGGACCCTCGTCCCGCTGGCCTCTAGCCCCCCGCATCGGCCATGTTGGGGGAACGTCCTTCTTTTTTTTGTAAGTAAAAAAAAAAATTAAATCCACTTTTAGCCCCTCAACTATCATGTCCATCTAGTTTTAACCCATAACTATAAAACCGTCTGGTCCAGGCACTGAAACTTTCAAAACCGTTCAATTTTAGCACCTCGGTGCGATTAAAGCGGTTTGCGCTGACGTGTGCCTGGTTTTGACCCGCCACGCTGGCATTGACGGCCACGTAGGACGGCCACGCGGGTCAAAACAAGAGCTGGCCCACTCAGCTCTCTCTCTCCCTCTCCGTTCCTCTCCCCCGAACTCTAGACGTCGCCGCTGGAGCCTTCATCGCCGTAGCCGCTACCGCATCCTCTCCTCCGGTGCCTCCGCGTCCACAGTCTCCCCTCCGCCTGGGAGTCCTCCGCCGCCGCCTTCGCAGTCCGAAAATGGCGACCTCGAGCGGATCCAGCCGAAGTTTGGGGACCCAAGAATCGCGATGGCGTCGCCATGGCGATTCGTCCTCACCCATCCCCTATCGTGAAGGACCACTGGAGTATACCCTGGCAGTGCTATGCAAATGCGGTGCAAAAGCTGCTAGGTTCATATTTTGGAGTGATTTGAACCCAGGATTGCGGTATCTGAAGTGTGCACGGGCTCGTGTAAGTTGTTCTCTTCGTGATTCATAGTATGTAGGTGCATCAGTGATTGAGTGTGTCTCTGATTTATTGGTTATTGGTTTGTTTTATAGGATGGTGGTTGCGACTTTTATAGTTGGGTGGATCCGCCAAACAGTAGTTTCATGAAGCAACTTCTGCTTGATTTGCGAGATGCAGTGAAGTACTAGAAGCGTGCAACTGGAGTAGCTGAACAAAGTTTGGAAGATGCAAGAATGGAGACTGCAAGACTCTTGGAAGGTGCAACAAGGGAGAATCAAAGACTGCAGCTTCAGCTGGAAGGCGCAACAAGGGAGAATCAAAGACTACAGCTTGAGCTGGAAGGCGCTGTCAGGTACAATGAAGACAGAGGGGCCATGTTTGTTGCAGCCAAGAGAGATGTGGCCATTATGCAAGCTGAATTGCAGTTGGGAGCTGAATCTAGAGTTGAGTTAGAGGTGAGGATAGGGACATTGGAGAAGAAGAGGATGTTCTTGTTTGGTGCTCTATTTGTGTGTGTAGGATTAGTGGATGCTTCCTGGATGCCTTGGATCATGTAAGTCAATGTGGTGTTAGCCTTGTGAAAGGTCCTAATGGCTAGAGGGGGGGTGAATAGCCTAATAAAATTCTACAACAACACTTAACAAAATGTGTTAGACAATTTTGCGGCGAAGCGAGTGTTGCGCTAGCCTACTAAAATGCAAGCCACCTACCACAATTCTATTTCGAATAGTGTATGTCCACACAATAGCTATGACACTTAGCTAAATTAGTGTGCTCTCAAAGACTAACTAAAGAGCAACACCAATCAAACAAACAAGCTCTCACAACTAGCTACACTAAAGAGCTTGATAACTAGTTTACGGTAATGTAAGAGTGAGCAAGAGAGTTATACCGCCGTGTAGTGGTAGGAACCAATCAATCACAATAATGAATACCAATGTAGACCAATCACCTCGGAATCAAATGATGAACACAATGATTTTTACTGAGGTTCACTTGCTTGCCGGCAAGCTAGTCCTCGTTGTGGCGATTCACTCACTTGGAGGTTCACGCGCTGATTGTCATCACTCGCCAAACCCTCAATAGGGTGCCGCACATCCAACACAAGATGAGGATCACACAAGCCACAAGCAATTTACTAGAGTACCTTTTGGCGCTCCACCGGGGAAAGGTCAAGAACCCCTCACAATCACCACGATCGGAGTCGGAGACAATCACCTCCTCCACTCAACGATCCTTGCTGCTCCAAGCCGTCTAGGTGGCGGCAACCACCAAGAGTAACAAGCGAAATTCGCAGCGAAACACAATCACCAAGTGCCTTTAGATGCAATAACTCAAGCAATGCACTTGGATTCACTCCCAATCTCACTATGATGATGAATCAATGATCTAGATGAGTGGGAGGGCTTTGGCTAAGCTCACAAGTATGCTATGTCAATAGAAATGGCCAAAAGTACGAGCTTGAGCCGGCCATGGGGCTATAAATAGAGCCCCAGTGAAATAGAGCCGTTGTACCCCTTCACTGGGCACAACGCGGGGTGACCGGACGCTCTCAGCGTCCGGTCGCCCGATGGACGCCACGCGTCACCAGCTTCAAACACTGTTCGTCAGATTTCAACGGCTGCGAAGCTGACCGGACGCTCCGGTAAAACTGACCGGACGCTGAAGCCCCAGCGTCCGGTCGTTTCTAGTAAGCTCCCCGAGGCATGTTTTTTCGACCGGACGCGTCCGGTCCACACCTGACCGACGCAACGCAGCGTCCGTGCTCAACCTTAGCCATCATGCGTTGGCCGACTACGACCGGACACAACCTTTCAGCGTCACTCGTCATTTGAGTGACTCCAAATATCCGGTCAGATGAGACCGACGCCAAAGATCATTTCGATCAACTCCATTTCAACTCTTACTTCTTCACCCTTGCTCAAGAGTGCCAACCACAAAGAGTTTTGCATCCGGCGCAATAGAAAATAGACATTTCATTTTCCCGAAAGCGCCGAATCCTGTAAGACACCTTGTGCACATGTGGTAGCATATTTACACAAATATTATCAAGGGTGTTAGCACTCCACTAGATCCTAAATGCATATGCAATGAGTTAGAGCATCTAGTGGCACTTTGATAACCGCATTCCGATACGAGTTTCACCCCTCTTAATAGTACGGCTATCAAACCTAAATGTGATCACACTCTCTAAGTGTCTTGATCACCAAAATAAAATAGCTCCTACAAGTTATACCTTTGCCTTAAGCTTTTTGTTTTTCTCTTTCTTCTCTTCAAGTTTAAGCCCTTGATCATCTCCATGCTATCACCATTGTCATGTTATGATCTTCATTTGTTTCTCTACTTGAAGTGTGCTACCTATCTCATGATCACTTGATGAACTAGGTTAGCACTTAGGGTTTCATCAATTTACCAAAACCAAACTAGAGCTTTCACCTTGGTGTAGTTGTAGTTGTAGTTAGTAGGATCCATGCTGGTACTGGAAACCTGTTGGTACTATTATGGGTTGTGTATCAGCTTAATGCATAAGCATAATGCTCAGGACCATGTATGAGTATCAGGTTAATGCTCATATCCTAATGTTTTAGTGAAATGTTTCAGTTGCATGAATCCTTTTATATGTGTAACCAGTGAGTTTTGTCAAATTTTTGATGGCGTCTGCACAAAGAGATGACTAAAGTTCAATACAATAGATGTCATTCAGTTGGTGATTAACACATAATAAACACAAACACAGATCATAACAGGATGTCATTCAATTCAGGTTAAGTGATTAACAGGATGTCATTTAGTGATTAACACATAATAAACACAAACACAGATCTAGGTTGGTGATACACAGAACATCAAGTTCATTACAATAGTTCAGGTTGCACACACACAGACTCATGATATTTGACACATACATGAAGTTCCAGATAGCATAGATAACACACAGACACAGACATGGGCTCAAGGATTTGGGCCTGTCAGCACTAAGGTAGAAGGAGTGGCTCCCTTGTGATCCGCTGCACTTGGTCTTCCTTCCTCTAGATAAATATGCTTGGGTGGTCCTACAGCTGACACAACAACCTTGGAGGTAGATGCACCTAAAACTTGGAGGCTTGCTTTACAGTGCTTTCCAGACATCCCTGGTATAGTGGCCTCTAGGGTGACCTTAGCCTCAGCCCCTTCGTTCAGTGTTGTCTTCACTCTTACTGATGACTTCATAGCTTTT